TCTTATTTTCCTTCTTTCTTCTTGATATTGCTGATTTTCTCGCGCACAAAGGAAACTTCTTTGACAGGTTAATATGCGCTGTTGTCAACTTGTTGGATGCGGACTGAAGTTCCTCGTGCAGTGTAGTGATTCGCCTATGTGCTTCTTCTAAACACAGGTAAATCAGGCTCTGTGATAGTGCCACAGTACGGTTCCAGTAAAATTACAGTGTTTGTATGGGGTAAAAATATCATCCTAAAATTTCTAGGAAATACTAAATAAAGATCAATAAAACTTACTCTGCAGTTAATTGTTGTTGTCCTTATTGCTCCAACGAAGTTTCGTGATAATTTGCAGTAATTTGTGTAAATTCACTCTATCTTCAATAATAATATACAAGGTAGGAAACACGAGGTGCCATTTTCGCCGACATGCTCTCATTCAACACAACTTTTTCCACGAAATTCGAACTCCAACGGAAAATAAACATGCCAGGATCGTAGAAATAGGATAGCAGCAGATATAGAAACCAATGAAGCTTTCCCAGATAGAGAAACGAATCCCACAGACTTTGACAAACTCGAAGAATATAATCCAAACAGACCGAGAATATGCTCGCCGAAGCAGCCGGGCCAGATCAACGCGCGGCCAAGAAAATGAGGCCTGGGCACTGTACAAAAAAAAATCATCCCGGGAGTCCTGAGGTGACCTTTCTGGGCACCGATACATCATTTGCCCAAAGCCACCCTCCCCTGCTGAAAAAATACTTAATAGAAGGCAATTGTTCTTCCTAGCCGTACCACCCTGGCCTGTTATAAAGAGATTATGTCCCTCTCGAACTATATTCAGCGCCTGGTGCTGGTCCTCAGAAAGTTTATCAAGCATCAATAGGGCAAGGTTATAAGGGCAAAGGAAAGAACAACGAAGGAGGATTTACAAAACTTAAAACGAGCAAAAGATATAAGTGAATTTTGGCTCTTACCGAGGCATTTGTACAAGAGGACCAAATTCAAAGAGAGGTGTATGAAGATGATTCACATATTTAACCGATAGAGCCGGCGTTCACTTGTATTGACAAGAAGTCGGCGTGTTACTGCCGCATTAATCGCTAAATATGTTAATCGCGCTAGTTCTTTGTTTACTGGTGCACGTGCCTTTCACATTCGTCTCAGTTATCGCAATTCATATTCTGTCGCAATTTTCTGTATAATTTTTGACATTAGTTTGTACGCTTCACCGTTTATTTACGATAGTTTCGCTCGAGAGTTCACAGCAACAGTATCTCAGTCATCATCTACCTTTTGTTCAACCTTGTTTTTAGCCCGCCTTGTAAGTATTTCGCGTTGTTATTTCATTAGTTTCATTACTGTTATTTGCATTCCTTAGTAAAAGAAATGGGGCGCCTTGTAACTCCGCAGACTCTCCTGATTATATTTTTTTTAGCCATTCAAATTTAGGCGCGTGTGCAGGGTTTGCTCTGGCAAATAGTGATTGAGCTTGATTGGCTAGGAAGAACAATTGCCTTCTATCAAGTATTTTTCCAGCAGGGGAGGGTGGCTTTGGGCAAATGATGTATCGGTCCCTAGAAAGGTCACCCCAGGACTCCCGGGATGGAACTTTTGGACAGTGCCCAGGCCTCATTTTCTTGGCCGCGTGTTGATCTGGCCCGGCTGCTTCGGCGAGCATATTCTCGGTCTGTTTGGATTATATTCTTCGAGTTTGTCAAAGTCTGTGGGATTCGTTTCTCTATCTGGGAAAGCTTCATTGGTTTCTATATCTGCTGCTATCCTATTTCTACGATCCTGGCATGTTTATTTTCCGTTGGAGTTCGAATTTCGTGGAAAAAGTTGTGTTGAACGATAGCATGTTGGCGAAAATGGCACCTCGTGTTTCCTACCTTGTATATTATTATTGTAGATAGAGTGAATTTACACAAATTACTGCAAATTATCACGAAACTTCGTTGGAGCAATAAGGACAACAACAATTAACTGCAGAGTAAGTTTTATTGATCTTTATTTAGTATTTCCTAGAAATTTTAGGATGATATTTTTACCCCATACAAACACTGTAATTTTACTGGAACCGTACTGTGGTACTATCACAGAGCCTGGGTTACCTGTGCTTCTAAATAGGCCAACTCATCGCCTGCAAATGACTTTAGAGTGTGGTCCTCTGAAAACAGCTCCTTACGTTTGCTATCGATCAATGACCGTAAATCAGACGCTCTGTTCAAAGTGTCATTTACAGTGCTCAAGCAAGACTCGCACTTTGCAACGTCACTGCTGTTGCAGCTGTTTGTGCCTGAAATGAACTTTTTAATGTTTTGGCACACTCCATATCTCTCATTCTTCAGTAAATTGTTTGCTTTGTTTGAGAGCTCCTCTATCTTGTTATTTAGCGCCCATCGCGTTTGCTGTTGTTCAAGCAGGTAGTTCCTGAACCCAGATTGCTTGTGACGAAACGCAGACTCGTAAATTTGTTGGACAATGCTGTTAAAAAACCTCAGTTTCTTGGAGTGTGCGTTTGGCAGAAGATATTTTTGCCAGGGCTCTACATCTGATACTGCCGATTCATTTCTTAGAACTTGAAGCTGCCCAGATCGGCCGAATGACAGAATTGCCATCTGTCGTTTCTTGGGAGCAACAGGGGGTCTATCACCTACAGGTCAATAACACCAAATTGTTATTCAAACAAATATGTATTCACAGCCTTGACAGGGACTTGGCGGACTGCTATTTGGCACTCTAAAAAAAGTAAGTTTGCAGTTTCAAGCACTGATTGCAGTTTCAAGCACTTTGCAGTTTTAAGCAAGATTGCTTGTATGTCAACTGAATTCAGATGTCTGGATCCAGACTAGAAAAAGACACGGATCAAGAGACACTTTTAAAAAAAGACTGCGCGATAACGGCTTTATTATGCTGTAAGTACATCATAGTTAGAAATACTAACTGTATATGAACGTTTAAAACACTAAATATACACGTCGAAAGGTGAATATGGGTACAAAGACATGGGGGGATCACGAAAGTTATATATAGTTATGAGGGGGGATCACTTCAATAAAATAACATTTAAAGGGGGGATCGGCTAAATTTCATCGTGTTTAGCCCAAAATCCTATTGGCTCGTGTGTTGTAAACTTAGACCTCAAATATTGAATAATTAGAAAAACCATACTTTCAAATAAAATTCATTAGCTGCGTATCAGAAAGTGCCCAGAAACTGAATCTATTTGTAAAAATCCTATAAAATTCGCCGACATCACAGAAGTGATGCGTGTATTATAAATGTGATGAGAAGCATTAAATTCAACTTGCATGCGTTGTCTCAGGATCGTGTTTTGAGCAAATGTTCATCACTGAAAGAACACACAACAATAAACAGACAAATTATTTCTCGAAAATTTTTATTCAAAGGCCCATAAATTAATCCTTAAAAGCAATTCGCGTGACACAAATTTGGCTCGTGGATCCGTTCACGCAAGTGAAATCGGCTGAGCACATGGCAAAAATTATTCAACACAAATCTGAAATCAGGGCGCTCAAGCCGATCTCAAAATGTATAAAACGTTAAAGATAAAATATTCACAAATGCATAATTTTCTTGACTATGGAGTACAAAATGTACCTTAAAATTCCTCAAAAACTTCGCTGCTTGGTGGCGTTTCAAAACAAGCAAAGCGCTCCGATCGGCCGTGATAAAAATTCCGTGTATTTTAAATTCCTCGAAGGACAATTTTTATGAAGCCGGAAAAGTCTTCCTTTGTCAACTTGAAGATTCCTTTCCCATCTATGTGTTTTAGCGATGTATTTTTAACTTTGAAATTCGAAATACTGGTCTTGTTTACCATCGCCATTGAGCTGTCTCACTTTTGTCTCACTTTTGAGGATTTTTGTCTAGGCCTCACATTTTCGGATAGACCACGTGACCCGAAACGCTTTGGCCGCGAGGAAAAATGAGGCCTAGGGACTAGGAAACTCTAAACCATCGTTTAACTCTTTTCTGTTTGACTTTGTGTTTACGATTCACCGCAAACCAGCTGCCATTTCTACTTTGATATCGTGCCAATAGTTTAGAACAACTTACTTCCATTTGACTGACGAACTTTATCCTGATACAATTAAAGAATAATACAAGAATATTTTCAGCCTAAAATCGGCAGAAAACATATAAGTTTATTCAGGCCGTGTCTTTTCAAATGAAGAAACTGAAGCTATAGAATGCGACTTACATATTATTAGTTGCTTTAATTATTAAGGAACAGATGATTTATTAAGTAACTAGGGTGCTGTATCTTCAGGCCGCCTCACATTCTTTAAGTTACCCGTGAACATGCAATTTATCAAAAAATGTGTTCATGGGTCCAGCAAATACTGTTGGATTGGTTTGCGACGTAAAAATTCCGTCTTGCTCTCAAGTCACCTCTCAGCTCGTTCTGTCTGACTGTATGTTTGCGATTCATGATTGAAAACCAACTGCCTTTGCTTATTTAATATTGCATCAGTAGTTTCATATAACTTCCTTCCTTTTTAACTGACGAACTTCAACAGTTATACGACCTATTGCGTTTCGCTTGAAAGAAAATTAAAACTAATTACTGTGTGATGATCACGTTACATTTAAAGTTTTAATTCCGGGTTCAGACATGCAAAGTTTCAATTTCAAGCAAGGTGAGAGTTTGGATATTGTGAGCCCGACTTAGGGGCTTTTTTAACTATTGTCGCGGAAGACTTAACAGTACTCAGTTAAAAACCAATTGCCACCGGAGGAGGAAGTCTGGAGAATATTCAGTAAGTCTCGCAAAGAGTAATTTCCAGCCTCAGTCTCGTGAAAAAAAGAAAACATTTGCAGATTTCCTCAAAAGTACAGCTGCTGAAACTTCAGACTGTATATAACGCTCCATTCAATGGTGGAAGCTGAAGGTCAGTCTCATTCAAAAACGGATGAAACCTAGAAAGCAATGAAATTCTTTGCATATTATAGAAACTGAACGCTGATTAGGGTTATGTAAAAAAAAAGATGGCAAGTGCTGAAGGCTTGCATTTGACACTTGTTTTCTTCAACGCTTTCTTGTCTTTCACCGCCATCGTATTAAACATCATAACAATGCAAGCGCTCAGAAAAACGTCGTCGTTGCCTAAGACTTTAAAAACATTGCTACTAAGCTTGGCTGTGTCTGATCTGGGTGTAGGCTTACTTGTCCAACCACTGTATGTTGCAATTCTTGTGATGGAAATAAAACAAAACACAAACAGTACTGCTTATCATACAATAAAGAAAGCGCTTTTAATCCAGGGAAGAACATTGGTCTTTGCTTCGCATTTTGGTGTTTTTGGATTAGCTGTGGACAGATTCTTGGCCATTCAGCTTCATCTCAGATATCAGGAGCTTGTGACTCACAAACGTGTTGTTGCTGTTGTGATCTCAGTCTGGGTGTTTAGTGCATCAATTTCCATCCTACGTAAATTGTATGATATTGATATTATGCGAACGGTCATTTTAGTTGTTTGTGTCGTAACTGCAGGATTGCTTTATTGCAAGATATACGCTTCCGTGAGACACCACACAAATCAGATTCACGCTCTGCAAGTTCAACAGGCGACACAGAATGAAGATATGACAAATGCCGCAAGGCTGAAAAAATCTTCACTGGCTACATTCTACATTTATTTCGTGTACTTAGTTTGCTATTTGCCATTTTCTTGTTTACTTTTTGCAAGGACCGTCAACGGTGAAACTCCCTTGTTATCTCATTTATGGTATATCACATTGACTCTTGTGTTTCTCAATTCATCCCTCAATCCCTTAATCTACTGCTGGAAGATGAGACACATTCGACAAACTGTTATGGACATACTTCGAAATATTTTCGCGATTTTTCCCCACTAAAGAAAGGATCTAACTGAGAATAACTTAATCGGCCTTTTTCTCTCCGAGTGGTGAAAATATTAGCTTTCCAGCAATACAATTGGAAAAATGACACTGAAACCTGAAACCTCTTGTACTCTCTGTTTGAAGGCAAAGGGATAAATATATGATCAAGTATAAGTTCATGAGATTTCAGTTTGCTTTGCAATAATTAACAAATAACGGAAACTCTGAAAGTATTATTTATCAAAGTCCGAAAGAGGGCAAAGAGAAAAAACTAGTTAGTTTAGGACGAATGACGAGTGACTTGATAAACAGAGGGCCGAATTTCCAAATTTGCATAGGCAAAACGTTCTGTGTACAGTAAAGTGGGTTTACTAGATTTTGTTAAGGCCATATTAGTGCATGCAATGAAGAAAACTAACTAAAGAGGAGAGAGATCAAAACTATGTCAATAAATCTTGCATAATGAATGTACCAAGAGTGGCAAAAAGATTTACCGGTATAACAACAACAACAACAATACATAATAATAATAATTATTATTATTATTAATAAAAATAATAAGAATAATACTAATAAGAATAATAATGATAAGAAGAACAACACGAGCCTATTTGTTGAGAAAGACGAAAACTAGTAGTTTATACTGTTGAGAATATATATTACAATATTTGTAACTGATTCATATCAATAAAGTTCACGTGAAAAAGTTAAGATGTTTTGAAGAATGGTAAAAATATACCGTTTAATCAGGAAAGAGCTCTCCTGACAGCGCAACCGATTGGAACAAATGATCGATAGCTAAATGACATCATAATACTAAAATACCATGATATGGAACCACAAAACAGTCATAATATGGCTCCAATATCAAGCAAAGAACTTCTTGCTCTGAGATTACGTAGAACCATATTGTTTGACGAAACAATTAAGTATAAGGCCCAGGGTTGAACCTATTCAGTTTCCTCATGTCCCAGTTCAACGTCTTGCAAGCAACTCTCGGTACGTGCGTTTACAATAAAGTTGAAACTTTTGTACGAGACCCCGTACTTAATGTTTCCATAGATATTTAGAAAGAGCGAGTCCAAAAAAGTAATTATTGTAACCAATGATATATAATAGAACAACGGTAACAACGTGAAAATGAAAAAAAAAATTACAAAATCGTATATTTTCCACTATTCTTAAACTAAAATGTGTTTTCTCCGACACATTAATTTTCCTGTTTGGTGGTTACGAGCGCTCTTTCATAATCATTAAAGTTCGCCCACAATTTCTATTTCAAGGGAGGGAGGGAAGAAAAGCATGCTCCTGTCATTTGGCAACTTTTAACCGCAAAGAGAAACACAATACATACACACTTCATACACACTGAAGTTTTTTTCTTTTGGCCTACAATGCAACTTCTGGGTCCACTAATAAATGTGCCAGCCAATAAAGACAATAAAGTCTAATGTTTTTACTACCTACAGTTATCATTTGTCAGGGAGGGGGGTGAGGCTAATTATTGTTACATCAGTTTTATCCAAAAAAACCCATTTTGCCACTTCCTCGCGTATACGTGTATAAGTAGACATTTTACAGGGAAATAAGCGAGTTTTTTTGTTTATTTGGTGCGCATAAAATTGGGGGCAATGATATTGTTTTCGATACATTTTCAATAAAATAAAATTGAGAAATAGTCGATTGTCGTTTAAAGCATATTCTGCTTTTTGCAACCCGATTACCTATCGAATTGCTACGTCGTGTTGGCTGGTGTCAGAAAGTTGAGGCTACAATGGATATTTTAAACATTCTGATCATTTGCTACTGATTAAACTTTGACACACAAGACAGTCCAAGACAGCATGATTTGTTTAAGTAACTACCTACTGTGTCTTTGTTTAACACCCTAGCTAGCAAGTTTTTTTTAATGGATAATAAGTTTCTTATCTTAACTCCTCCCTGTGACTCGTCATAGATCGTTGTTTATCAAAAGGTCTGCCCCATATTGTTTGCATGGGTCCAGTAAATACATTGGATTTAGACTGCAAAACAGTCCGTATTTTTGCGTATTCAGGTACGCGCGAGCAGTCAAACAAAAGGTCTGGAACAAGGCTGAAAACAGAGAGCGAGACTGGGGACAGACGGTTTTTTTTTCTCTCGCCTCACACGCCCGAAAGGGTGTGTGTGACTGGCGCTCTTCGAGCGCGTAAGACTCTTACGCCACGCTTTTCCGATTTCTTTACTAATTCTGAGAAAAAAACCGACTGTTCTGCAGTCTACATTGGATTGGTTTTCGACGTGATAGTCGGTTTTTCCTATAAACCATCGTTAAACTCTTTCTTTGTGTATGACTTTGTATTAGCGATTGATTGCAACCAGCTGCTGTTGATAAAGCGATTTTCGTATGATCTTGAAACGAAAACGCGCGAACCAAACCGGATCAACAAACGAACGAAATAGGGCGATTTGATTGGTTGATCGAACGGATACAAACCCGCGTTGCTTTTGGTTGCTTAAGCGAACGCTTGGGTGAAAAAAGTTCACGCCCGAGAACTTTCTAGAAATCAATCGATACTTCGGTTTGACGTCATACTTCAACACGATTGGCTAATCGAACAATGCCTTCTCCATATTAGGGTTTTCTTTGGCGGGAAAACGAAGAGGTCATGTTTTGATCCTTTCATCCATTGGCTGATAAAACAAATAACGAACACTTACCGAAACCATTTTTTAAGGTCATACGAAAATCGCTCTACTTTGATATTGCTTCAGTAGTTTCAATCTCTTCCTTTTTGACCGACGAACTTCAACACTTAGTTCGACCTATCGCGTTTGGGTTTAAATGAAAATATATTCAAATTACTGTGTGATGAGGACGTCATATTTAAATTCTGAATTACGGGCTCTAGTAAGACGTAGTTTTAATTCCAAACAAGTGAATATTTCCGATGCTATGAGTACAACTTTATGTTTTAATAGAGGGAGAAAATATCGTCTTGTTTATTAAATGCGCATTAAATTGCGAGCAATGATGAAATTTCTTTATATTAAACTAAAAAAACTGGAGATAATATGATTCACGTTTTGATAGCTGCCTCGGATGAATTTAATACCACCATCCATTAAGTTAATAAAGCATGACAGTATATTGTTCTTGAATACTATTTTAGTAAAATGAAATTGAAACATACTTTCCGAGTTGATTGTAGCTTAAGACATGTATTCCTTTTTTGGAACATGATTACTAATTGAATTGCCACCTGGTGTTGGCTGGTTTCATTAAGATGAGACTGCAATGAATGTTTTAAACGTTCTGATCGTTTGCAAATGGTCAAGTCTGACACATATAACCTGAGATCAGGCGTTATTATTATTATTATTATTATTATTATTATTATTATTATTATTATTATTATTATTATTATTATTATTATTATTATTTTGCTTCTTTGCTCCTTTGGCGAGAGAGGGAAAAAATAACGCCTGATATATTCATTTAACAAGCCATCAACCGCTCCCTAATTTCCATAATCTAACTTCTGCTTGACCTGTCATGTTATTAGCCAATCAGCGGTTACCAGGACGGGAATAAATTTTGGTGGGAATAATGTCTCTTTCGCCGAAATCAACTTTGGTGAAGAGAAAATTTTTAAGTACCTGCAGATGGCGCTTCCTAAAAAAAAAATTTAAATACTTTTTTTACCTTCATTTAACGCCTACAAATAATAAAGAATTTACAAGCTCGTTGACTTCCTTCTGTGGCGAAAGCAGTGAAAAAAAATAAGGTTCGAGCATCATATTTCACAGCACAGTGCTGTGAAAGCGAAGATCGCTCAGACTAATTCGCAGGTTTCTGAAGGAGGAACTACAGTCAAACCAGGTCGAGATTCCATTCATGAATTGATTATTTAAAACGTGAACCCGTTTGTCGCTTCTGTAACTTGTAGCCGGTATCAAATTACATTCAAATGATCGGCGAATTTTTGACTGCAATTTTTAGTAAACGATGAAATGGAAAATATTTCAATGTATGAAATTTCTATTTAGACATTCTTTAAATTCAAGGATACTGAGTTGGCAGAAATTTCATAACGAACTCGCGTGTGTATTAACTGCTCATTACGCAAGCAAAAAGCAGACTGAAATCAACAACAACTAACGGATGGCGGCGTTTTGGCAATCGGAACAGCGCAGATCATCCGTATTGTTTTCTATCCAATCAGGAAAAACTCCAGATTCTGGCTTTTTTGCATGTGACCTGTGAAAGAAATGTATCATGCCCTCCTTCCGAAAACAGATTACAGAGATCAAGGGAGAAGGCATGATCTCAGGCTAGACACGTATGACCGAATAATTTGTCAAGTTACTACCCACTGTGGCTTTGTTTTAAAACCCTAGGTAGTAAGGTTTTTTTTTCTCAACCACCAGTCCTAAGACTCGTCGTAAGTCGTATTTAATTAAAATTTGTTCGTTTTTATAGTTGTTACTTGAGTTCAGCAAACAAGTTGGATGGGTGTCCGACCAAGAGAGGATAAAGGGGACAGAGAAGGCATCCCCCATACACACCCTATTCCATAGGTAATTCGTCTAGAGTTATTTTTAACACCACAGATTTCAAGGGGGATTAGACAACAGGCAATCACATAGCGCGAATGTGTTACGCGTGGATGACCCACGCTGAGAGCCACGCGTCCTTCACGAAATGACGCAGAACAAAATGGGGGAAGACGCGGAGAGCAATTTTGCTATTCCTTTTGTCGACGAAAACGACTACAGCGAGATTTCTGCGAAAGCTGTGTCAGCGAAACGGAAATTAAAAAAGAATCGCCCTTCCTCTCTTGTATAGAGCTAAAAGTACAGCGGGGAAATCCTTAACACACTGAACATTCTCTCAGGATCATTTATAATTTACAGTTTGAAGAGAGCAATTTCTGGTTTGATATTTATTCCTTTGTTAGTCTTTTATTATTCAACAAAAATAACACTTGGCGTCCTACGTGCCTTATTAGGGACTTTAAGATCCAACGGCGCGACGGCGACAAGAACGTCGCTTAAAAAGTGAATTTGAGTTTTTTCGGTCTTCATAGCGATTATTCCTACCCACTTACTTTGTCAATTGTAGGCGAACCCTCCTTAAGCTGAATTTCAAGGGACCATATTCAAGCTCAGAAAGAGAAATAAAATTTCGTCGTTGCTTGTTTACGTCCTCCATAAAACGCGAAATTAGGCATTTTCGTGTCGTAGTCGTGCAAAAACGGGAAAGAAATGAACAAAAACGTGTGTTGCACGTGCGAAGTTGTTGTGTTGCTAATTAAACCTTTTTTTTTTTTTTTTGACGTTCTAGTTGTCGTCAGCGTCGTTGGATCTTAAACTCCCTTTTTTACAAACGACCGGTTTCAATAGACCGGCGAAATTTCTCATTTTATTAAAGCACTGAGGTTACGACAACTTCGAGTTAAACTGATTTCACGGGTTGTCAAAGAGTCCAGCGTCTCCTTTTTCCCAGGTGAGCGCCGGCTCATTTCGCTTCAATATTCAGGAATGCTCTCGATCTTTTTACGCTTTCATTGCCTTAAGCCCGACATGTGTTGCACGGCGTTTAGTCATGCGAAACCCCACGAAACATCCACGCCTCGCGCAAGGTAACTTTATCCCGATTCTAAAAATAACTCGAGACGAATTACCTACGGAATAGGGTGTGTATGGGGGATGCCTTCTCTGTCCCCTTTATCCTCTCTTGTGTACGACCTAACAGTCTGTTTTTCCTATAAACTATCACTAGACTCTTTCTGTTTGACTGTTTATTTGCGATCCTTTGCAAACCAAGTGCCTTTTCTAATTTAATATTGCGTTAGTAGTTCAAATAACTTTCTTCCATTTGACTGACGAACTCTCAACACCTACAAAGCTCGACCTTTCGCGTTTCTGTTAAAAGAAAGATATATTCAAATTTCTGTGCAATGAGAAGAACCCCGAGCATTGCACAGACAGTTTTAATTTCAGATAAGCTGAAATTTTAGATGTTATGAGTGCGTTTTAGGGACTCTCTTATACCATTGGCTGTATTTATACTAGTCAAGAGTACGTCTAAGACGTCTGAGAGGTTTAAGTCGTTGCTTCTAAGCCTGTGTATTTCTGATCGAGGTGTAGGTTTTCTTATGCAGCCACTTTATGTTGCATATCTTACGATGGAAATAACTAAAAACAGTACAAAGACTGACAACATTATTGCTTATTGGGCTGTTGTTAAAGCATATGCCATCCCTCACAGTTTACTTGTTTTTGCCTCATTTTTTGGTGTTTTCGCGATAACCGTTGACAGATTCTTGGCCATTCATCTTCACAATCTCAGATACCCGAAACTTGTGACTCACAAACGGATAGTTGCTGTAGTGATCTCATGCTGGGTGTTCAGTGTAATTGCTTGCTTCTGGTATGAATCGATAAGTGTTTTTCCTGTGATGTCAGTTGTTTGTATCATAACTACGGGATTGCTTTATTGCAAGATATGCGCAGCCGTAAGACACCACACAAACCAGATTCGCGCTCAGCAAGTACCTGACCAAGTAGCTCAGAATGGAGACATGGCAAATATAATGCCGCAAGGCTGAGAAAAACTGCCGTTGCTACATTTTACATGTATATCTTGTTTTTCTTTGTTTTTTCATATTTATAGTTTGTTCAAAAAATATATATACTCGAGTAATGCTAAGCTGCGAAGGGAACGCCGGAGAACGGTGAAAAACAACAACAGGTCTAATTAGCAAAAAAGCAACTTTGCTCGTCGTGCAGCACACTTTTTTTGTACATTTCTTTGCCGCTGTTTTGCACGACTACAACGTCAAACTTCCACAAACTTCTTAGTTACACGCTTTATGGAGGAAATGTCGTACGTGTTCTAGCTCAATTTTTTTTCATTGCCGCTCATTTTCACCTTGGATTGGTGGCCGCTAGCATTTCTTATTTTCTCACTGCAGCTACAAAATTGTCATGTTGTTCTGGTAACAAAAAAATGTCTCCTTTGTTGTTTATCTCTCGCTCTAGATCTCTGTCGCCCTTTTTCTCGTTGAGCTTCGCTGACATGCCGCCTACTTTCTCTTTTTCTCTGTCTTTCTCTTGCTCTACTTTCCCAATTTTTGGGAATGACAATTCAATCAATCTAAGCTTTTAAGCTCAGATTAATTGTCATGGCCAAAAATTTAGAAAAATATTATAATACTTCAGACAACACGGATACAGAAACAATTTCTGCTTTCCGTTTTCGTCTTTATTAACTCTTTAGTTGTCTCTGCTTTACAAGACTCGGGTGGCTATGCGATTTCCCGCCCAAATAACGTAGAGTTGCATTTGGGTTGCCATACCTGTTGATTGACTTATTTTACACTGGTATGCTTGCGGTGCGGACAGACGGTCGGTTGCTCGGTCGGGCGGTGTACGGTCACGTGATTAGCAAATTAACTAGGATGGGTAGATTTACTTAGCTATGGGGCTCCGCAAGCGCGCGCTCCGCTAAGAACAGAGTTAATTTACACGTTTAGGGATGGTTTAAACTTTGGAGAAGGTATCCTAAATATACGGGTAGCCACAACTGCATTAATGCAGGTTTCACTGTATTTCTGTATTTCTGCTGCGCGCGGGAGAGCTTTGCCAAAAATGTTTGTGGTGAACCAAGGCGTTCAAAACGCCAAAATAGATTAATGTCACGCGTCAGCCATTTTGTCTCAGGAGATTTAAAAAGCTTTGCTTATGCACAGCTAGCCTCGTAGAGAGAACGAGGCTTTTTAACAAAGGTTTTTAAATAATAGTCAAATATATTAATCTTACGTTCAAAAAGAGGAAAGAATTATTGAAAATGTAACTTGATAGAAAATCTTTGATGATTTTATGGTGCGTACGTCATTAGTTAAACGTTATTGTTACTTAAATGTAAAAGACCTTCATTGTAAACAGACCGATACCCCCATATGGAGAGTAACGCACTCCATATGGAGAGTAAGACACAAAAAAGATACTGTTAATGTTACTGTTACTCCAGCGAGTGTCACATAAAGTAAATACCATCATCAGTAGACAAAACGACTTCTTCCAGATCAATGTCTGTTAAATAGTACATGCTTGGAAGTCGTATTTTTCTAGTTACAAGAAAGTAGAGAAATCTGACTTGATGAGAGCGCGCTGATGGGCCACTAGCTCCCGCTTTAGATTTATCTGCAAGACGCTGTTGAGAGTGAAAGAGTTTATAAAAGACCATAAAAAGCCGTAATTATATTTGTTTTCATAATAAGTTTCGTGCCAGATGAATATTATTGAATGTATTGCAAATGTGGGAGCCATGATGTAAAGGAAGAAAGCTATTTAACAAATGGAGGACTTTTTTTGCATACAGTTGTAATGTTAAATTTAATATCAATTCGGCTTCGAAAATTAGAGCGTAATTTGGAACTTCTGAATCCTTCTTAATTAACGCCACTGATGACTGCACTGATTTCATAGCTTAACATGTAACACAACCAGCAATAACCTTAACCTTCTAATGCATGAAGATTTTCAAAGGTTCTAAGGAAATGTTTTGCCTGATCTGAATTTGTCTGCAAGAAAAAATGGTCGAGGGTACACGGTCCCTATTAAAGTACCGAGACAGATTACATACAACAAAAGAAACAATACACCCAAAAAATCAAGCTTCCATGAGAACTCTATAACAGATGTATTCAGGCTGGCCACATGTCTTCCGTTCGCTTGTTAACACCTATAGTCCTAATTATAATATATAGATTTAGCCAGCGCTAAAAGCGAAGCTAGTTATAGGCTCTCGTTAATGTACTTGTCAATAATTTACTCAAACAAGAAAATATATATTTTTTTTTACTTACAGAGTAGTTTATTTACACAACACATGTTACAGTTACAAATTTTAAAACTAGAAGAAAGTATATAACAATATTACAGATTGGACCATAATGATTACATAACTTTAACAGAAAAGAATTAAACACAACAGTTCACACAATAGCATTAGACCTGTTAATTAACAGATTCTGATTCTGGTAAAGTTGAATTCTTTCTAACTAATTGAAGGAAGAGGTTTTTCGAAATCATACCTCCAACTGATTCTAGCCTTAAATTCATCCAAAGATAAATCTTTAGGTGCTAACTTATTTATGTACAAGTAATATTTAGCAAGCAGAAGAGTAAAATAGAGCTTTTTGACAATTTCCAATCATTTCTATCTTTTAAAAAGCTAAAAATACTAGTGTCTTTTGACGCGATTTCTCAAACCCCGAACGATGAGTGACAAGATGAAGTGTTTACCTTGCACCGTAACTGTAAGATCAGGGCATGAGGAAAAACACTAAAAGAGAATCTGTTAATTAACTGGCCGATAATCAAGAGATTAGCTACCAAGATGATATAAGTACAACTCAGTGCCGGATATCCAGACGTTGAGATAAGGGGTGGGGGGCGGTCATCCAGACCCTTAGATAAAGGGGGGCCCAGGCTGCCAAAAAAATTTTTTGGGCCCTTCGGGCCTCAGTTTGGTCTAGATCCGCCACTGCAACGGCAGACAAACAAATTTCAATGATTTTTCAAGGACAAAGTACAGTTTTTAAGGACTAAGATTTTTTAAATTAAACGGCATACTTTAACCCCCTTTGATAACTATATTGGCTAAAACCCTAGCCTTTACAATTAATTTTTACCTTCACACTACTTTTCGCAAGAAGACTGACTGGGTATGACTTGCAATTGCTTCTGAGGTGCAGAAATCATTCATGCGCCAAAATGTTTTTACGTTACCCGTGAGTTTTACGGGTTCTTATACACCGAGGATGAGCCAAATTCTACTCGGCAAAATAATCCGAGTAATTTTACAGAAAAAGGAAGGTGTCTACAAGGTTGTGAATTTTAAGGACTTTTCAAGACTTAATAAAGACATCAAGTATTTTTTAAGGACCTAAACCGAATTCAAGGACTCAGAATTTTCAAGACCACTACTAAAAAATTCAAGACCTTTTCAAGATTGAGCGGACCTTGTATAACAGGAAACAGAAAGCAACGCTAAACGGGGACAACAACGAAAACGACAAAAAGCTAGTAAATAGGTCTAACAGAGAGGAGAAGTGTGACGTCACGTTGTCATGGTAGCAAAAAATCTGGATGACAAAAATGAAGAGCTTAAGCAAGGACGACGGCGAAAACAACGAGAACGGCAAAAAAGCGATAGGTTTAGCAAAATAAAAACTTTGCACGTGCATCACGCTTTTTTCTAGCTACATTTCTTAGCCGTCGTTACGCGACTGCAGAATGGAACTTGCTAATTTCACGCACCGCTCTATGGAGTTGGTCAACACAGCACAAAAATTTTCTTTTTCTTTTTCTAAACTCAGATACGGTCCTTTCGGAGAATTTTGTCAACATTTAACACATTAAATGAAACTGATTAAGTTCGATGAAATTTGAAACAGAGCGAATTCAGTACTTAGTTAAGTGACGTTTTTGGTTTGTTGTCTGATCCAAAAATTTTGCTACTGTGGCAACGTTACCTAACCAAAAAAACAACAACAACAACCTTGCACTTGCGCAGCACACATTTTTGTACATTTCTTTGACCTTGGTTTCCACGACTACAATGTGAAACTTCCTAACTCATTTTACGTTGAAAAATGTCGCATGTGCTCACCAATGTTTTGTCATGTTCCTGTTCACTTTTTTTTTCTACACTGTCGCTCATTTTCACCTTGTTGGCCGCCTTTTCTCATTTTCTCACCGCCATTTCCATGTTTTTCCTCCAACGAAATTTGTCTCTGTTTTTTGTCTAACGCTTTAGCTCTGTTGTCGATGTCATTAGAGACTTTAAAATTTAGTCGGACTTGACTTTGTTGTTGGTTTTTCTCTCTTTTAAGTCCGGATGGACTTTCTCTCTCTAAAAAGTCGCGGTGGACTTTAGGTTTCCCGCCGAAAAACCCCGTGTTGCATTTGCCATACCTGTTGATTGAGTTAGTTTACATTGGTATGCCTGTGGTGCGGAAAGGCGTGCGTACGCTCACGTGATTATTTATGCACAGTGAACCAAAATTCTTACCCATAGTACAGCGCTGCGCGCGCGTAAGCTTCGCCAAAAATGTTTTTGGTGAACCAAGACGTCAAAAACGCCAAAATAGGCCTTTGTCACGCGGCAGCCATTTTGTCTCAGGAGATTTAAAAACTTTGTTTATGCACAGCTAGCCTTGTAGAACCTTAACCTTCTATTGGGGCATGAAGATTTTCCGAGATTTCAAGGAAATTTTTTGCCTGATCTGAATTTGTCTGCAAGAAAAATATTAAAACTTAATAGCGACTATCCGCTGAGCAAATTTACTGAATCACAGCTTTCAACCTTAAAAATTGGTTCAATGAACATAATTTAATACTAGGCTTCTGTTAATACCTATTGCGAGCGTAAAGTCACGGAATTGCTCAAGCATTTTGTAACGGCAAAAGATATTAAAGTCTTCAGCCTCGCCGAAGCCTATTTCCCTTTCGTAAACGATCGTTGCCATTTATAACACACGATACCACATGTTGGTGACCAAGCCTTTAGTCATGATGTAATATTTTCCCTGGATTAACTTACAACAAGAACACCAATCTCGCTTGCTTGGAGATTACATAAGAGATAAGGAGGCGATTAATTCTAAACGAACGGCAGGATTTCTTCGCTAAAAGGTTTCACTTTCCACTTTCTCGACGGTCTAGTATTCTTCAGAATATTTAAAGAATATTTTCTTGAGAATATAGACCGTATTCACAAATGGCGGACACGCGGGAAAAAACTGGTACCTAGTCATGAAAGCGAGGCGTTGGAGGGTAAACAAAAATTGCAAATGAAGACTTTCAGTGAACTTGCAGAGTGTTTAGCACGGATTCCACCTAAAATAACTTTGTATGGACTTCTTTTTAAATACAATTACGAGGGATGTCTTCTGCTTTTAATGTTTAGTAGCGATTTGCTGTTTGCAATCAAAAGGGACGCGTATATCTTCAAGGAAACAGGATGATTTTGTAGGTTTCCGAAGTATCAGAAGCTCGACAAGTGGGCGATGGCTGGAGAAAAGCGGCAAACATGTTGGCCCAAACTTCAAATTGAAACCGAGTTCGAAAGCCAGCTCACTGCAATTAGGTAAAACAGAAATATAAACAATGAAAATCTTGGTGGCAAGAAAAAAAGAAATAAGCGATGGATATATGGCCTACTTGTTAACGCAAGAGACGTGTGCCATTGAACAAAACAATTCAAATCGAGATGGAAAAAAGGAAGACAGGAAAGAAGCGGTGACTGAGGTTTGGATGAAGTTATGTTTGGTGTTTATTTGCCAGGACGTTATTCTCTGGTCTTTATCGATGAAGGACATCAATTAGAACTATCTTTTTGGTATAAATGCTGGAGCGATCGAGTGGAGTACGCTCAAAATTTCAACTTGTTACTCGGCAGACTCGGTAAGCCGGCCACATTTCATTTCAGCGAGTAATTTTCCTATTTCTTATCTTTAGCTGTTAAGAGTTTTAACTTCATGTTCCATAATATTTTAAAAGTGAAGAATACATAAATAAATAAAATGATGGTCTTCTTAAACGGATCCAGACTCGCATTTAATTATTCGAAACAGAAGCTTGCCGTGTTCAGTCCTGATACAAATATTGCCTTAAAAGTTTAACCTAGTAAAATGTGAGCTTTATACCACTTTTTTACCAAGAGCTCTCCGAGATAATGCCGTAAAGGAGACCAGGCAAATAGCAAGCCATAAGATTCACACACTAGAGCGTCTAGTTTTGATAAAATTATTTTATTTCGCAATGACAAAGAAATCAAAAGATTTTAAATTTGCACTGAATTTGCTAAGCTCTGCCAACGTACCTCTAACAATTCACTCCAAAGCGATGGAATTATAATATCATCCAAAGGAAGTTGTAAATACAGACATACATAGATTATGTGTAAAATGACACTGACATGAATGAATGAGTCTCGTGAATGAATCTTTCACCCGCTCTCGACTTGACCTGTTTTGAGTAATGGCGGAGGTCTCTTCCGTTGACAAGTAGGGCCATATATCCGTCGCTTATTTCTTTTTTTCTTGCCACCAATATCTGTTTTTACTTCTGTTTTACAAAATTGCAGTAAGCTGACTTTCGTATTCGGTTCCAGCATGAAGTTTGGGCCAACATGTTTGCCGCTTTTCTCCAGCCATCACCCACTTGTCGAGCTTCTGAGGCTTCGGCAACCTACAAATCATCCTGTTCCCTTGAAGATATACGCGTCCCTTTTGATTGCAAACAGCAAATCAGTACTAAACATTAAAAGCAGAAGACGTTCCACGTCATTATATCTAAAAAGACGTCCATACAAAGTTATTTAGGTGGGATCCGTGCTTAACACTCTGCAAGTTCACTGAAAGTCTTCATTTGCAATTTTTGTTTACCCTCCAACGCCTCGCTTTCATGACTAGGCACCAGTTTTTTCCAGCGTGTCCGCCATTTGTGAATACGGTGTATACGCGTGTAAAAATACAAATCATCGCTAGAAAGTGAAAACGTGATGAACCCGGCGCGTCATTTCAATCATCGCCAAAAATAAACCGCATGCTCATCACAAGACTCGTTTTCATACCATGAAAGTTTACAACGCCCGACTAGCCGTTATAGCCTCACTACCGAAGTTTTCATTGAAGCATTCACTTGTTCAAAAGCAATCAACGATTTCAAGCAATAGAATTCGTGGACCGTTCGGTTCCGGGAAAGCTCGACATCTCTGCATCAATCTTTCCTAAGCTTTCTTCACAAAATAGAGCATGGCGCTGTGACAGGTAGCAATTCCCATCCTCAGTTTCCATGATCTCTCCTAGTAGCGCCAGGGACCATGATTCCCTTTTGGCGAGCACACAACCGAGACTAACTACCTACTGTGCTGGTCTATGTTTTAAAAGCTTAGCTAGTAATTTTTTTTTACGGGGAACAAGTTCCTTCTCTTATGTCAAGAGACTCGTCGTTTGTTATAGTTACTAAAAAAACGTGCGTTTGTTTCGCTTGAGTCCAGCAAACACGTAGGATTGGTCTCATACTTAATAGTCTGCATTTCCTCTAAACCATTGCTTAACTCTCTTCTGTCTGACTTTCTGTTTACGATTCACCGCAAACCAGCTGCCATTTCTACTTTGATATCGCTCCAATAGTTTCGAATAACTCACTTCCATTTAATATTTTCATCCTAAAATCGGCAGGAAAAGAAATAAGAATATTCAGCCTGTGTGTTTTAAACTGAAGAAACTGACGCTATATGATACGACTTACATCTTATTAGCTGCCTTAAAGTTAATAAAGGATGCTATAGTGTAAGTTGATTTTTTTGTAGTCGATTGCAGTTTAAGGCATATATTACTTTTTAACACGTGGTTGCTCATCGGATTGCCACGTCATGTACAAACGGGTGTTCTGAATATTTGCAATTGATACTATATTAAGGAGCGGATGATTTATTAAGTAGCTAGGGTACTGTATCTTTAGGCCGCCTCATACTCTTTAAGTCACTCGTGAACATGTAGTTTATCAAAAAATGTGTTCATGGGTCCAGCAAATACTGTTGGATTGGTTTGCGACGTAAAAATTCCCTTTTCCTCTTAAGTTACCTGTCAGCTCGTTCTGTCTGATTGTATATTTGCCATTCATAATTGAAAACCAACTGCCTTAGTTTATTTAAAATTGCGTCAGTAGTTTCATATAACTTCCTTCCTTTTTAACTGACGAACTTCAACATTTATACGACCTATAGCGTTTCGCTTGAAAGAAAATTAATACTAATTACTGTGTGATGATGACGTTACATTTAAAGTTTTAATTCCGGGTTCAGACATGCAAAGTTTCAATTTCAAACAAGGTGAGAGTTTGGATATTGTGAGCACGACTTAGGGACTTTTTTTACTACTGTCGCGGAAGACTCAACAGTACTCAGTTAAAAACCAATTGCCATCGGAGGAAGAAGACTGGAGAAAATTCAGTAAGTCTCGCAAAGAGTAATTTCCCGCTTCAGTTCTACACAGCTGCTGAAACTTAAGACTGTATATAACGCTCCATTCAATGGTTACTGAAGGTCAGTCTCATTCAAAAACGGATGAAGCCTAGAAAGCAATGAAATTCTTTGCATATTATAGAAACTGAACACTGATTAGGGTTATGTAAAAAAAAAAAGATGGCAAGTGCTGAAGGCTTGCATTTGACACTTGTTTTCTTCAACGCTTTCTTGTCTTTCACCACCATCGTGTTAAACATCATAACAATGCAAGCGCTCAGAAAAACGTCGTCGTTGCCAAAGACTTTAAAAACATTGCTACTAAGCCTGGCTGTGTCTGATCTGGGTGTAGGCTTACTTGTCCAACCACTGTATGTTGCATTTCTTGTGATGGAGATAAAACAAAACACAAACAGTACTGCTTATTATACAGTTATAGAAGCGCGTAGATTCCAGGGAAAAACATTGGTCTTTGCTTCGCATTTTGGTGTTTTTGCAATAGCTGTGGACAGATTCTTGGCTATTCAGCTTCATCTCAGATATCAGGAGCTTGTGACACACAAACGTGTTGTTGCTGTTGTGATCTCATTCTGGGTGTTTAGTGCATCAATTTGCGTCCTAAGTCAGTTGTATGATAATAATATTTTGCGAGCGGTCATTGTAGCTGTTTGTGTCGTAACTACAGGATTGCTTTATTGCAAGATATACGCAGCCGTGAGACACCACACAAATCAGATTCACGCTCTGCAAGTGCAACAGGCGACACAGAATGAAGATATGGCAAATGCCGCAAGGCTGAAAAAATCTTCACTGGCTACATTCTACGTTTATTTCGTGTACTTAGTTTGCTATTTGCCACTATATTGTGTTATCTTTGCCATGACCAATAGTAAAACTCCCTTGTTATCTCATTTATATCATATCACATTGACTCTTGTGTTTCTCAATTCATCCCTCAATCCCTTAATCTACTGCTGGAAGATGAGACACATTCGACAAACTGTTATGGATATACTTCGAAATATTTTCGCGATTTTTGCCCACTAAAGAAAGGATCTAACTGAGAATAACTTAATCGGCCTTTTTCTCTCTGAGTGGTGAAAATATTAGCTTTCCAGCAATACAATTGGAAAAATGACACTAAAGATAAACGGAAACTGAAACCTCTTGTACTCTCTGTTTGAAGGCAAAGGGATAAATATTTGATCGAGTGAGTATAAGTTCATGAGATTTCAGTTTGCTTTGGAATAATTAACAAATAACGGAAACTCTGAAAGTATTATTTATCAAAGTCAGAAAGAGGGCAAAGAGAAAAAGCTAGGTTGTTTAGGACGAATGACGAGTGACGTGATAAATAGAGGGCCGAGTTTCCAATTTTCATTGGCAAAAAGTTCTGTGTACAGTAAAGTGTCTTAAAAAGTTTACTAGATTTTGTGAACCATGTGCATGCAATGAAGAAAACTAACTAAAGAGGAGAGAGATCAAAACTATGTCAAAAAATCTTCATACTGAATGTACCAAGAGTGGCGAAAAGATTTACCGATATAAAAAACAACAACAACACATAATAATAATAATTATTATGCTAATAAAAATAATAAGAATAATAATGAGAAGAAGAACATCACAGCCTATTTGTTGAGAGAGAAGAATACTAGTAGTTTATAATGTTGAGAATATATATTACAATTGTAATTGGTTCATATCAATAAAGTTCACGTGAAAAAGTTAAAATGTTTTGAAGATGGTAAAAATATACCATTTAATCTGGGTTTTTTTTTAATTTATCGAGTCCAGAAATTACTAATAAGATCACTACATTTGAAAGTTTTAGACTGGGGGAGAAAGAGCTCTCCTCACAGCGCAACCGATTGGAACAAATGATCGATAGCTAAATGACATTATAATACTAAAATACAGGAATACCCAACGAACATTTTTCACAAAATTGATTATACGATGTCGTAAACGCTAGCAAAGTGCTTTTACGTCAACCTATGTTAATATTTAACTTTCCTGGGAAAAAAATACCCGCTCTACACTGCTAGCCAGTAAGACTTTCAGAAAATAAATATCCCAGCCAGCAATCATGTTTGACGGTTTTTTGCCAGCCAGCAAGGTTAAAAAAACAAAAATTACGCAATCCCAGCCAGAGTGAAACGGAATTCGGTGTTTGCCAGCCAGCGATAGCAGAAGTAAGTTATGAGCCAGCCAGCAAAGTTTCATTTAACACATTGCCAAGAAAAACATGTAAGTCAGTAGGCAAGATTTGTTTTACGTCAAATTTACATAATATAAAAGAAAAGCGTGTTTAACCTGTTTCACCCTTTTATCTAGTTGTCGTTTATTTTTTTTGACATATAGGGAAAAGATGAGTGTATTTTTTTAGTTTATGTTATTCCCTATCCCTAAGTATTACATAACAATAACGTAACAACTAAAGACATTCAGCGGTACTTACAGTTTTGGAATGTTGACTTGAGGAGTAGTCTTGAGTTTTTGCCAGGTAAACGATAAAAAGGAAGATCCCGAACTTTGTCCATAACACAATAAAACGTAAAAAAAGTGATCACCGCAAAGCATTAAGACCAATGCATTTTTTTCCAACGATAATCGACTGAGGCGAAAAAAAGTTTAAGAATAAACAACATAACGAGTAAGCTCGATCTACGTGGGGTCTCCTCTGCAAAATCACCCAAAATTCGGCGTAGACACATGCTTATCGCCAGCATTGTATGCCGTGCCTACTGTTACTCCGCAAAAAGTTTACACCAGAACTGATAGAAAGTTTCGAGTAAACAGGCTTTGACAATACCATATTACGGAACCAGAAAGCAGACATAATATGGCTCCAATATCAAGCAAAGAGCTTCTTGCTCTGAGATTAAAAACTTAGAACCATAATGTTTGACGAAACAATTAAGTATAAGGCCCAGGGTTGAACCTAAGTAAACAGTTTTCTCATGTCCCAGTTCAACGTCTTGCAAGCAACTCTCGGTGCGTGCGTCTATGTTTCCATAGGCATTTAGAACGAGCGAGTCCAAAAAAGTAATTATTGTAACCAATGATATATAACAGAACAACAGTAACAACGTGAAAATTGAAAACAAAAATTACAAAATCGTATATTTCCACTATTCTTAAAGTAAAATGTGTTTTCTCCGACACATTAATTTTCCTGTTCGGTGGTTACGAGCGCTCTTTCATAATCATGAAAGTTCCCCCACAATTTCTCTTTCAAGGGAGGGAGGAAAGAAAAGTATGCTCTTGTCATTTAGCAACTTTGAATCGCAAAGAAAAACTCAAGACATACACACTTCATACAGCTGAAGTTTTTTTTTTTTTTTTGGCCTACAATGTAACTTCTGGGTCCACCAATAAATGTGCCAGCCAATAAAGACAATATAGTCTAATGTTTTTACTACCTACATTTATCATTTGTCTGGGAGCGGCTGGGGTTAATTATTGTTACATCAGTTTTATCCAAAAACACCATTTTGCCACTTCCTTACGTATACGTGTATAAGAAGACATTTTACAAGGAAATAAGCGAGTTTTTTTGTTTATTTGGTACGCATTAAATTGTGTGCAATGATGTTGTTTTCGATACATTTTCAATAAAATGAAATTGAGAAATAGTTGATTGTCATTCAAGGCATATATTGCTTTTTGCAACATGATTACTCATCGAATTGCCACGTCGTGTTGGCTGGTGTCATAAAGTTGAGGCTATAATGGATATTTTAAACATTCTGATCATTTGTTACTGATTATTTAAACTTTGACACACAAGACAGTCCAAGACAGCATGAGTTGTTTACTAAGTAACTACCTACTGTGTCTTTGTTTAACACCCTAGCAAGTAAGTTTTTTTTTAATGGGTAATAAGTTTCTTATCTCAACTCCTCCCTGTGACTTGTCAGAGATCGTTGTTTATCAAAAGGTCTGCCCCATATTGTTTGCATGGGTCCAGTAAATACATTGGATTTAGACTGCAAAACAGTCCATATTTTTGCGTATTCAAGTCACGCGAGCAGTCAAACAAAGGCCTGGAACGAGGCTGAAAACAGAGAGCGAGACTGGGGAGAGACGGTTTTTTCTCTCTCCACTCACACGCGCGAAAGGGTGTGTGTGCGCCACGCTTTTCCGATTTCTTTACTAATTCTGAGTAAAAAACCGACTGTTCTGCAGTACACATTGGATTGGTCTTCGACGTGATTGTCGGTTTTTCCGGTAAACCATCGTTAAACTCTTTCTTTGTGTATGACTTTGTATTAGCGATTGATTGCAACCAGCTGCTGTTAATAGAGCGATTTTCGTTTGACCTTGAAACGAAAACGCGCCAACAAAACGGAAACAGCAAACGAGCGGAAATAGGGCGATTTGATTGGTTTATCGAACGGATACAAACCCGCGTGGCTTTTGGTTGGTTAAGCGAACGCTCGGGTGAAAAAACTTCACGCCCGAGAACTTTCTAGAAATCAATCGATACTTCAGTTTGACGTCATACTTCAACACAATTGGCTAATCGAACAATGCCTTCTCCACATTAAGGTTTTCTTTGGCGGGAAAACGAAGAGGTCATGTTTTGATCCTTTCATCCATTGGCTTATAAAACAAATAACGAACACTTACCGAAACCATTTTTCCTTTTTGACCGACGTCGAACTTCAACACTTAGTCCGACCTATCGCGTTTCAGTTTAAATGAAAATATATTCAAATTACTGTGTGATGAGGACGTCATATTTAAATTCTGAGTTACGGGCTCTAGCAGGAAGCCTGGGCTCTAGTAAGATATAGTTTTAATTCCAAACAAGTGAATATTTCGGATGCTATGAGTACAACTTTATGTTTTATTGGAGGGAGAAAATATCGTCTTGTTTATTAAATGCGTAATAAATTGCGAGCAATGATGAACTTTCTTTATATTAAACTACAAAAAAACTAGAGATAATATGATTCACGTTTTGATAGCTGCCTCGGATGAATTTAATACCACCATCCATTAAGTTAATAAAGCATAGTATATTGTTCTTGAATACTTTTTTAATAAAATGAAATTGAAACATACTTTCCGAGTTGATTCTGTTGATTGTAGCTTAAAACATATATTGCTTTTTTGGAACATGATTACTCATTGAATTGCCACCTGGTGTTGGCTGGTTTCATTAAGATGAGTCTACAATGAATGTTTTAAACGTTCTGATCGTTTGCAACTGATCAAGTCTGACAAATGTGACCGAATGATTTGTCAAGTAACTACCCACTGTGTTTTTGTTTTAAAACCCTAGCTAGTAAGGTTTTTTTTATAGCTAATAAGTTTTTTTTTTCTGAACCCCCAGTCCTATAACTCGTCGTAAGTCGTATTTAATTAAAATTTGTTCGTTTTTTATAGTTTTTACTTGAGTTCATCAAACAAGTTGGATTGGCGTCCGACCTAATAGTCTGCTTTTCCTATAAACTATCAGTAAACTCTTTCTGTTTGACTGTTTATTTGCGATCCTTTGCAAACCAACTGCCTTTTTTAGCATAGTATATTTTTCTTGAATACTTTTTTCATAAAATGAAATTGAAACATACTTTCCAAGTTGATTGTAGCTTAAGACATATATTGCTTTTTTGGAAAATAATTACTCATCGAATTTCCACCTGGTGTTGGCTGGTTTCATTAAGATGAGACTACAATGGATGTTCTAAACGTTCTGATCGTTTGCGAATGATCAAGTATGACACATATAACCTGAGATCAGGCGTTATTATTATTATTATTTATTTATTTTTATTCTTTTGCTTCTTTGCTCCTTTGGCGAGAGAGGGAAAAAATAACGCCTGATATATTCATTTAACAAGCCATCAACCGCTCCCTAATTTCCATAATCTAACTTCTGCTTGACCTGTCATGTTATTAGCCAATCAGCGGTTACCAGACGGGAATCAAATTTTGGTGGGAATAATGTCTCTTTCGCCGAAATCAATTGTAGGGAAATTTTTAAGTACGTGCACGCCAGATGGCGCTTCCTAAAATAAAATTTAAATGTTTTTTTTTTGTGATCAAGTACTGCTGGCTGGAGCTGCCTTACCTTTATTTAACAGCTACAAACAATAAAGAATTTACAAGCTCGTTGACTTCCTTCTGTGGTGAAAGCAAAAAACATTAGGCTGGAGCATCATATTTCACAAACTGAAAAGTGTTGTGAAAGCGAAGATCGCTCAGACTAATTCGCAGGTTTCTGAAGGAGGAATTACAGTCAAACCAGGTCAAGACTCCATTCACGAATTGATTATTTTAAAAGTTAACCCGTTTGTCGCTTCTGTAACTTGTAGCCGGTATCAAATTGCATTCAAATGATCGGCGAATTTTTGACAGCAATTTTTAGTAAACGATGAAATGGAAAGTATTTCAATGTATTCTTCAAATTCAAGAAAACTGAGTTGGCAGAAATTTCATAACGAACTCGCGTGTGTATTAACTGCTCATTACGCAAGCAAAATGCACACTGAAATCAACAACAACTAACGGATGGCGGCGTTTTGGCCAATCGCAACAGCGCAAATCATCCGTATTGTTTCCTATCCAATCAGGAAAAAAGTCTAGATTCTGGCTTTTTTGCATGTGATCTGTGAAAGAAATGTGTCATGCCCTCCTCCCGAAAACAGATTACAGAGTTACAGGGAGAAGGTATGATCGCAGGCTAGCAAGACACATATGACCGAATGATTTCCCAAGTAACTACCCAATGTGTCTTTGTTCTAAAACCCTAGCTAGTAAATAAAGGTTTTTTTTATAGGTAATAAGTTTTTTTTTCAGAAGCTCCAGTCCTAAGACTCGTCGTAAGTCGTATTTAATTAAAATTTGTGCGTTTTTTATAGTTTTTACTTGAGTTCAGCAAACAAGTTGGATTGGTGTCCGACCTAAACTCTTTCTGTTTGACTGTTTATTTGCGATCCTTTGCAAACCAACTGCATTTTCTAATTTGATATTTTGTCAGTAGTTCAAATAACTTTCTTCCATTTGACTGACGAACTCTCAACACCTACAAAGCTCCACCTTTCGCGTTTCTGTTAAAAGAAAGATATATTCAAATTTCTGTGCAATGAGGAGAACCCCGAGCATTGCACAGACAGTTTTAATTTGAGATAAGTTGAAATTTTAGATGTTATGAGTGCGTTTCATGGACTCTCTTATACCATGAGACGTTTAAGACGTTGCTTCTAAGCCTGTGTATTTCTGATCTAGGTGTAGGTTTTCTTATCCAGCCACTTTATGTTGCATATCTTACGATAGAAATAACTAAAAACAGTAAAAACACAGACAACATTATTGCTTATTGGGCTGGTGTTAAAGCATATGCCATCCCTCACAGTTTATTTGTTTTTGCCTCATTTTGTGGTGTTTTCGCGATAACTGTTGACAGATTCTTGGCCATTCATCTTCACAATCTCAGATACCGGAAACTTCAATGTGACTCACAAACGGGTTGTTGCTGTAGTGATCTCATTCTGGGTGTTCAGTGTAATTGCTTGCTTCTGGTATGAATCGATAAGTGTTTTGTCCGTGATGTCAGTTGTTTGTATCATAACCACGGGATTGCTTTATTGCAAGATATACGCAGCCGTAAGCAACACAAACCAGAGTACCTGAACAAGTAGCTCAGAATGGAGACATGGCAAATACCGCAAGGCTGATAAAAACTGCCCTTGCTACATTTCACATGTATATCTTGTTTTTAATTTTTCATATTTATAGTTTGTTCAAAAAATATATAAACTCGTGTAATGCTAAGCTGCGAAGGCAACGCCGGAGAACGGTGAAAAACAACAATAGGTCTAATTAGTAAAAAAAAAAAACAACTCTGCACGTGCAGCACACTTTTTTGTACATTTCTTTGCCGTTGTTTTGCACGACTACAACGTGAAACTTCCACAAACTTCTTAGTTACACGCTTTATGGGGGAAATGTCGTACGTGTTCTCGCTCACTTTTTTTTCAGTGCCGCTCATTTTCACATTCCATTGGTGGCCGCTAGCATTTCTCATTTTCTCACCGCAGCTACAAAATTGTCATGTTGTTCTTGTAACAAAAAACTGTCTCCTTTTTTGTTTATCTCTCGCTCTAGATCTCTGTCGCCCTTATTCTCGTTGAGCTTCGCTGGCATGCCGCCTACTTTCTCTTTTTCTGTGTCTTTCTCTTCCTCTATTTTCCAAATTTTTGGGAATGACAATTCAATTAATCTAAGCTTTTAAGCTCAGATTAATTGACATGTCCAAAAATTTGGAGAAGTATTACAATACTTCAGACAACATGGATACAGAAACAATTTCTGCTTTCCGTTTTTGTCTTTATTGACTCTTCAGTTGTCTCTGCTTTACAAGAGTCGGGTGGCTATGCGATTTCCCGCCCAAATAACCTCGAGTTACATTTCGGTTGCCATACCTGTTGATTGACTTATTTTACATTGGTATGCCTGTGATGCGGACAGACGGTCGGTTGCTCGGTGGGGCGGTGTACGGTCACGTAAGTACCAAATTTTCTAGGATGGGTAGATTTACTTAGCTATGTGGCTCCGCAAGCGCGCGCTTCGCGCGCGCGTAGAGCTCCGCTAAGATCAGAGTTAATTTACACGTTCAGGGATGGTTCAAACCTTGGAGAAGGTATCCTAAATATAGAGTTAACTACAACTACATTAATACAGGTTTCACTGTATTTCTCTGATGCACAGATAACCAAATTTTCTTACCCACGGTGCACCGCTGCGCGCGCGAGTGCTTTACCAAAAATGTTTGTGGTGAACCAAGACGTTCAAAACGCCAAAATAGATTTATATCACGCGGCAGCCATTTTGTCTCAGGAGATTTAAAAAGCTTTGTTTATGCAGAGCTAGCCTCGTAGAGAGAACGAGGCTTTTTAACAAAGCTTTTTAAATCTCCTGAAACAAAATGGTCGCCGTGTGACAAAGGTCTATTGCCTAATTCCTTTGTATTGCGTATCGTCTGTCTGGCCTGAGGGTTAATTAGTCCCTCTAATGACCAATGCGGGGAGGCTCAGCCCGAAAAGAGTACCTTTTTCATGCCTCAGGTATATGAAAGCGTAAGGATTTCACTAGTTGAAGTAAATGAAACTGTAGGGAAATTTGTCATTTCGGTCCGTAACAAGGCCCAAAAGAGCTGAAAGATGCATTATGTCTGTGAGAGAGTCGGCGCATGAAAGCTTTCTGGCTTTCTGATTTGTTCACATTTAAAAGACAGTGAATTTACAGCAGTTCGAAGGGATACAAAGTTCTAAACTACGCAAGTGAAAGTGGTATCATTTATCAATAGAAGGCAGACGAAAGGGGTACTGTTGAAGTGACAAATGCAATAACTGACCACAAATGTAGTAAAAATTGGCCACAAATGTAATAGAAACCTAAAATGCTGCCAAAACCGTATATTTCTCGAAAGAGTACCGCTTTAAATTTAAGTCGGATACAAATAAATTCCGCGGCGCCCTTTCGAAAAACACAATTCTCTCCAAAGAGCGCAGCCTTCAAATATCTTTCTCAAATTAAGGTTAAAAAACAATAAGCGCCGTGGCGCTCTTTCAAGTAAACAGAATTTACTACACTCTTTTTGCGCCCGCTCGCTCCCTCTCCGGACGACAAACATTTTTTTACTTGGCCTGACAGTATCAGCAAATCGGGACTGGTGTGCGAGAATTTGCATCATATATTGGGAGTGTCACGTGGACAAACTAAAAGCAAAGGGTAACTCCTGATCTGCCTTCCCCGCGTATGCGTGGGAGAACTGCCTTGCGGTTCTCAGCCAGCAGCTCCCAAAATTGGCTCAAAGACCAAAATTGTGTTTCCTCAAGTTCAACACGGATACAAACTGGAAAATATGAAATCTGCGGCGTTCCCATACCTGTAGAAGACAGAACGTGCTTGGTTTGCAAACAAGACCAAGTCGAAGATGAACAACACTTCTTGATTTTTTGCAATGGGTACAATGTATTGCGACAGGAGTTAATTAATTTTATTTTAAGTAAGGATGTTGCTTTTGTGAATCTTACTGCCCATGACAGAATAAAATACTAATTAACAGCAGACAACAATAATACTTGTAAAATAATAGCCAAATTTATTAATCTTATGTTCAAAAAGAGGTTTTCAAGAATTTGACTGAAAATGTAACTTGATAGAAAATCTTTGATGATTTTATGGTGCGTACATCATTAGTTAGTCTGCTACACAGCCGTTTTTAGTGTCGTCACGCAACGCTCCTCCCCACTTAGTAGTGGGGACAAACGAAAACAACGAGAACGGCAAAAAAGCGATAGGTTTAGCAAAATAAAAACTTTGCACGTGCATCACGCTTTTTTCTAGCTGCATTTCTTAACCTTCGTTATGTATCGGTCAAATCGAAGCTTCAACATCTACCCCCCGGGCATTTGACTTTTTTGAAAATTATTGTTCAAATTCCCCCCTACCCGGGCCAAAATGCCGTTCAAATGCCCCACACTTGGGTCCATTCAGGTGATCAAATGCCCCCACCCCGGGACATTTCACAGGCACAAAAATGACAGAAGGACGGCGGAAACGCCTTCAGTTGTGGAACAAAATCTTTATAAATATAACAAAAACTGAGAAACACTGTTAGCGTATTTATTACGAACAAAAGTTTTGTGCAAAGCGGCAGAAATCGCTGCTACAAGGCCACTGAATGCTCAGCTTTTCTTCGTCATGCAACATACAAAGCGTTCTATAAAAAAAGATCCCACCTATTGAGATTACTACATCATGACCATTTCACTGACATGCGTCATCGCTCACCTTATTAATTAACATACTTGCAGTAGGTCAAAGTAGTTGACCTGAGTATTTTATTTTATTTTATGTTGTTGTATTGAATCGCCGGTATAGGTATTGTATTTCATTGTAAACACAACAATAAAATACATTCATACATTCAAAGCCTGAATCCAACATTAAGAATTTTAAAATTTACGGCGGGTTTCACAAACATGCGAATTGTGAAGTTCAAAAGCCAACTGACGATTGCGTTTTTCGCTGCTGTCAGTCATCTTAACGGACCTCTTAGGAAACAAAACTTTACTTTAAAGATTTCAAAAGGTCATGGTTTGTGATTTGTGATTGGTGGATTTCGATCCGTTTTGTGTGTTTTTGTGTTTCAAGGTTCGTTCCTTGTGATCGTAATTATGATTGACGGCAGCGAAAAACGCAATTGTGAAGGCGGCTTATGAACTTTAGAGTTCGCATTTTTGTGAAAAGCGCAGTAAATACTTCAAATACAGCACAAAGCTTGTTTAAGCCCTTTCCTCGTAACCAATTGGCCACAAAGGCACAATCTTTTCCACGAAAATCCTCTAACACCGCGTTCCCCATGATAGCTCGCCACGCCCAAGATTTTACATGCAATCGAGGGTGCAGTTCAAATTACCCACCCCTAAAGCATGGGGATCAAATTCCCCAACCCCTGGAAGACTCTGATAATCAAATTCCCTCCTCTCCGGGACGGCAAACGTGTCAAATGCCCGGGGTATTCCCGGGAGGAGCATGTTGAAGCTTCGATTTGACCGATACATTACGCGACTGCGACATAGAACTTCCTAATTTCACGCGCCCGCGCTATGCAGTTAATGGTCAACACAGCACAAAAATTTTCTTTTTCTTTGTCTAAACTCAGATACGGTCCTTTCGGATTCAACCCCGGAGAATTTTGTCAACATTTAACACATCAAATGAAACTGAATAAGTTCGATGAAATTTGAGACAGTGCGAGTTGACTTAGTTATGTGACGTTTTTGGCTTGTTGTCTGATGCAAAACTTTTGCTCCTGTGGCAACGTGACCTAACAAAAACAACAACATCAACAACCTTACACGTCCGCAGCACACTATTTTGTACATTTCTTTGACGCTGTTTTGCACGACTACAATGTGAAACTTCCTAACTCATTTTATGTTGGAAAATGTCGTATGTGCTCACCAATGTTTTGTCATGTTCCTGTTCACTTCTTTTCTACACTGCCGCTCATTTTCACTGACCTTGTTGGCCGCTTTTTCTCATTTTCTCACCGCCAATTTCCATGTTTTTCGAAATTTGTCTCTTGTCTTTTGTCTAACGCTTTAGCTCTGTTGTCGACGTCATTAAACACTTTTAAATTTAGTCGGACTTGACTTTGTTGTTGGTTTTTTTCTCTTCTAAGTCCAGATGGACTTTCTCTCTCTAAAAAGTCGGGGTGGACTCTAAGTTTCCCGCCAAAAAACCCCTTGTTGCATTTACCATACCTGTTAATTGAGTTATTTTACATTGGTATGCCTGTGGTGCGGAAGCGTGTGCGTACGCTCACGTGATTATTTATGCACAGTGAACCAAAATTCTTACCCATGGTGCACCGCCGCGCGCGCGAGAACTTCGGCAAAAATGTTTGTGGTGAACCAAGCCGTCAAAAACGCCAAAATAGACCTTTGTCACGCGGCAGCCATAAATCTCAGGAGATTTTAAAAAACTTTGCTTTTAATATGCACAGCTAGCCTTG